TAAAAACAGTTTTATCACTAACAATAATAGAATCCTAACTTTTATAACTAAATTCAAAACTTATAGATTACATTGTGTGAAAGCATCAAAAGAGTAAAACAAATTACTGAAAGACAAAAGTAAAGACTCCCAACAACTATCACTGCTATTAAGACTAAACAAATTTATTCCATATGTATAAAATAAGTCAAATGATTTTTCTAAGTACTAATGAGATGCTACTTTTTTCATGACTTTTATTTGATAAAGCTGAACTTCTAAATATAAATCAAGAAATATAATTTAGTTTAGTGCAGTAAGAACATTTATTTAAAGACAAGAATAGAGGTTTCCAACGACGAAAGAGCCAGAATATATATTTTGTTAAGACACACTAAAAGAGTCAGAATAATAACTAATATAAATAAAGTCATCACTTGTAGTCTCACAACATTAACCCAGATTCAAAACTTCAAATCTAAGAAGAGGGGAGTTAAGTGCAATACCATAAACATCAACATAAGCATGTTGATCACTTAATGTCTCATGTCCACATCATCACCAGAAGTAAACTTTTTTGGTTTTACAACTTCACTAATAGAGAATGATCCATAACTTCTAATAAGAAATTCACAACCCTTAGTCCAATAACTTCAAAATCAATCTACCATGTATTATGTTTGCTCAATGGTAATTAAATGGTATAATTTCACTTCATTAAACTAAAATGTTTCTTAACAGTCGCTAAGTAACCATGATGCTTCTTTTTTCCTCACTTCTAAGTTCTAAATAATAAGGCTTACCTTCTAAATCTAAATCTATGACTATTATTCTGAAATTCATTACGACTAAGAAATGATCAATTGAATGCTTTCATGTTAAAATTCATATGATTGAGACTCGAGTTGTATAAATACACATCAAACTTTTAGTTTAGTTATAAGTTTAACAAGTTATTAAACGTTAATTACATACAAAAACGCATGATTATGTAAACGTTAGTTACATACAAAAAACGGAGGCTAGCACCTGAAGATATATCAAGGATTGCTTTGTAATATCTTATCAAGTACATTGACCTTCCAATTACCGAAGCTTCAAAAAGCTTGAAATTTGGGCTTACATTACTCGAGAAGAGATGAAGAGAAATCGGTATCCCTGGTTGGCCTCACAAAAAGATCAAATCCTTGTTTAGACTCATTAGTAATCTCCATGTTTCTCTATCTTTTACTCCCCGTTATATAAAGTTACTGGTTCATCTAAGTAGTTTTTTATTCTACTTTCCTAAAGTCACTTTTGACACATAGTAGTCATGAACACTAACCCTAATATTGAATAAATTTAAAAACATTAAAATGCCCGAAACTAACAAATTGAAGATCAATCAACCTGAATTCAGAAGAATATCATAGGAACCAAGTAGATTTTATCTTTGAAATTATGTAACAAGAACCTGTAAAGCATAAACCGGATACTCGCTTTTGAATTTCATAAAATCATCGTCGAACTCTCCATCGATCCAAGAGGGAGCAGAAACAAAACCGAATTCAGAGATCCTCTTGAATAAATGAAGAAAAACGAAGAAGTTTCTAGCAATTGGCCTACGATCTTCATCTTTTGTAGTTGATCGGAGAGAATTATGAGAGCAGAGAGAGCTACAGAGTCGATGAAGAGAATCAGATATATATAGAGAGAGAAACTCTTTTCGGCTCATCCGATTGCAGTGAAACAAAATTAGGAACGGTCAGCCGTAAGATTTAATCTAATCCATCGGCCCTAATTAATTCTCATTTTTTCAGCTTAAGGAAGCTTCTCATCTGATCCATTCCCATATAAAATATTTGTCCGTTTGAGGTAAAAAGCATTTTACAATGAACAATTAGTTTTTATGATCACAATCATTATGTATGCAATTTACACGATATTACACCGATTTGTAACTATAATTCTAGAAAGATTAATTAATGAACAATTATGAAATGGAAGGAAATAAACAGAAAATCAAAGAGAGAAAATATATTTTGAACACTTAGTTATAAAGATTATCTTAATGATATTCCTAGAGGTGTGCTAATTACAATGAGAGAAGACTCCTATTTATAGTAGAAAATGTAAGCTTTAGGTGTCACACAATTATCACCTTGAAATCATAATGATATGATTTCCTTATAATTTATATAATGATGATCATAATTTCTAACAATGGATAGTTAGAAAATGACTAAGGTTATGCGTGACACAATTAGCAGAAAAAAATACTTTTATGAGTTTTTTTTAGTTACTGTTAGTTTTTAATAGGGGCGGGCAAAAATACCGAACCGGCATGGTATCGAACCGAACCGATATGGTACTGGACCGAAAAATGGGGTTTGAAACGGATCTCAATTTTTTTGTCCCGAACCGAACCGTACCGATTCTAAACAATGCCATGACCGGTTCTCATTTTATGAGAACCGGTACCGGACCGAACCGGACCGAAGTATGATTCAATGATTTAAATTTACATTTATACCCTTACTTTGACTACTGTCTTCACACTTTCACCGTCTTTGCTAATTCATAGGAAGCCTGGAATCGGACCGATGTATGGTTTAATTATTTATATTTGTACTAGTATAATTTATCTAAAATTTATTAATTATGTAAAATACTACATTTATCCCAAATTGATTTGCAAAATTAACTTTTCTTGGTCAAACAGTTTCATTTTATTCACTTAACTAAAATGTCACTTTTTAATTATATTTAATTTGGAGCTTGCAACCTTGAAGAGATTTTAATGTAGTTTCTGAATATGTTTATTTTAATTATTAAAAAATAAATCAATTATCAATAAAGAGAAATTAACTTTAACATGGTTGACAAAAAAATTATTGACTTTGCATGTCAATTTGGGATAAAATGAGTATGAAAATTGATAAATTGTGTCGATTTTTGGAGGATGAATAAACTTTAATTTCCTCTTAAGCACTTGAAAAAAGTGGCATTGTTTGGTATTGGTATGGCATGGTACTGTCCCGTTTCAAAATGAAACCGTACCGAACGGGTTTAGGTCTAAGACCGAACCGAACCGAACCGTTTGAATAGTAACGGTACGGGTACGGGTTCAGCCAAATATTGGACCGGACCGGACCGCGCCCACCCCTAGTTTTTAATGGTTGAAAAAACCTTAAAATAAAAAGTTTATAAGTGTTTGATAAACAACTGATTGTTTAATTTAGTTTTGTTTGACATACAAGCTGTTGGGACTAATTGATGCCAAAAGTTACATACTTTCTATGCTACTTACTATATCATCTAAAAAAATCTTTTATTTAAAAAAAATCTTAAAATTTGTCATGCCAAAATTCAACTAGAAACTTTTAAAGACTTTTTAAATAGTACAAAAGTTAGAAATTGGGAACTTATGCTCTACCAAATATGCTCTTAATCCATAATATTTCAACATAAACTTTTTTTTATCGTCAAAACCAACAAATATATTAAATCAACATAACGTTCATCACATAAAAAGCAGGAAACAAAACAATAAAAAGCCTTCTGTCTGCCGTCCGCCCTCGAACCAGACTTAAAATCTATCACCGTTGTCGAAGCAATATTATTTGCTGATCCTTAATGAGCTTAACTGAGACAATGACTGTCAAACCAGACTTCTCATCACGTTACTTAAACTCTAGAATCTCTCTGCTAGGAAATAAGAACACGTCCAGAACAACATGCAATTCGAAAGAAAAAACCCAAAAAGAATAAAACAAAACTAAAAAAGAGTTTACTCATTTCTTCCAAACCCTAGACTCGCTTGCACTCCATGGCAGCGGCTCGGGAGGGGGACGCGTCCGTCGCTCATCCACCTCAATAGGCATGCTTTTGTATTGATTGACAATATCCTCCATTGATATGTCCCTTGTTGCTGAATCGAAATCAAGCTGCGCCACAGCTTACCCATCATTTCTTTGTCAACCCTCGACCTTCGATATGAAACAAAAACAGAAGTCGAGCCCCGACTGCCAAAGCGTTGCATGACTTGCATCCCTAGTCCCGAGCCTTGCACGATCGAAATCGATTGACGGCTGCTCTTCGTTGATGACAAAAGCGGATGAACAAAACCCTGACTCATTGGGAAATGACCGCTATCGGTTAAGAGTAAAACACTAAATTACTAAAACATTGTTATACGGTTATACACTTCTACACTTATACCTTCAACACAAACTTTGTATTCTTGAAATTTGAGGTTCGAAAGTCCAAACAAGTCAATAATAAGTGCATCCTCTACTACTAGTAGAGATGGCAATTTCGACCGACCCGTTGGATACCCGCACCGAACCGATTTGGTCAAATTGGGGAATTGAAAACCGGTTTGACTGGGGAATGGGTACGGGGCGACGAATACCCGAATTTTTTAAATGGTTAATGGTGCGGTTATGGTTCTATACTAATCCACCCCGTTATCTGTCCCGAAACCGCCCCGTTCATTAGTGGTGCGGGTACCCGCACCGTTACCCGATCGATAACATTATTAATAAATTATAACTTTTTATATATAAGAATAATAACTATATATGCTAAATTGTGTATAATAAATAGTATATATCATATAAATAATGCTAAAAAGTATACTACTTTTTTAGGCGTAAAACTAAATATAGGCCTAAACCTATTTTTGAAATTTGGATTCTGGGATGATTATTATTTTTTTATTATGTTACAAGAGATATTGGGTGCATGTCATACTAATGAATTTAGGTCAGTTTGCTTGATTGCTTAAATGTTTATTTTTGTATGTTTTAGGGTGCTTTGAATATATAAATAACAAGTAGGATTAAAAATTGGTTATTTGTTTTCCCAAAAAAAGTTGGTTATTTGGTATCATTTGGGGAAACGGTTACCCGTGGATAAACCGATTCCCCGTTGGGGCGGGTACGGTTCAAATAAAAATTATCCGAATGGGTAATGGAGCGGTTTTTGGGGCAAATATTTATCCAACGGGCGGTTCCGATGTAATGTGTACCCGTCCACGATCCGCCCCCGTTGCCATCACTATCCCCTAGCAACTTAGCAAGTCCGCAACTCGAGTTGAATTGACAAAAGGAACTACGGAGTACATTGTAAAATGAGAGCAATTGAGGGGGCATATAGAGATTTTCAAAGACAAAAATAATACGGAGTTTCAAATACAGGAGAAAAACTCCGGGTCTGCCCTGCTGTGCCGCACCGTAAACTGGAAACAATCCGGTAGCTTAGCCGGAGAGAGACTGGGAAAGGAGGGGAAAGGAGGAAGAAGAAAGAATGAATGGGCCGCAGCCGTACCACCAGCCGGCAACAATTGAGGAAGTCCGAACCCTTTGGATTGGAGACTTGCCCTACTGGGCTGAAGAGCCTTATCTCCAGAGCTGGTTCGCTCCCACCGGAGAGGTTATATCCCTTTATTCTTTTGTTTTTTAATACAAAATGCTTCTAATTTGTTCTCCTTCTGTTTTCGTGAATGAAAGTTCGTGATTTTAGATAATTAACTCTTCAGCTGGCATTATTGTACTGATACTTGTCTTAAATTACATTCCAATTTCCAGACTAGAACACTGGATATCGTACTCTATTAGACTGTGGCAATGTGCAATATAATTCTCTCCTTGATTGTTTTGTTTATTTTCACTAAAGTGCTATGTTGCACCAGCTTTGCCTTACAAGTTATAGGGGAGGTCTCTACAAAGGAGTTTTCGAATTGACAAATTGGGCAATTGATTGCCTTATTTTTTTCTGGAAATATGTTAGTTTTATGTCTTTCACACACATACACTCAGATTGTCTGGGTTTTGGATTAAAATGTTCAGAAGAAATTGGAAATATGTCCTTTTTTTAATTGATTACTCTGATTTCTAAATGATTCTTGGTAATTGATGTAGGTACTTTCAATAAAAGTAATTCGAAATAAGATGACAGGGCAACCAGAGGGTTACGGTTTTGTGGAGTTCACTTCACATGCTGTTGCCGAGAATGTATTACAGTCTTACAATGGATCACAAATTCCAGGGACCGAATTAACCTTTAGGTTGAATTGGGCATCATCTGGTTTCGGGGAGAGACGTGACACTGGTCCTGAGCACTCTATCTTTGTAGGCGATTTAGCTCCAGACGTAACAGATTATCTATTGCAAGAGACATTCCGTACTCATTATGCTTCAGTTAGAGGAGCTAAGGTTGTCACTGATCCGAACACTGGACGTTCTAAGGGATATGGTTTTGTTAAGTTTGCTGATGAGGCAGAAAGAAACCGTGCCATGGGTGAGATGAATGGGGCCTATTGCTCTAGTAGACCGATGCGAATAAGTGCAGCAACGCCCAAAAAAACCGCTGGTCTTCAACAGACCTATGTGGTACCAAAAGGTTGCTTTCTATTCTATTTTACTCGAGTATGTGAAAGACCTTGTTATACCTTGTTGGCCTTTTAATTCCCTTCAATTTATTTCTATTGTCTTAGTGGCGGAGCTAGGAAATTAGTATTAGGGGGGGCTAAGTTTGAAAGTTTTGTTTTGAGGACAAAGGTTCATATTTTAACATATTCTTATATAGATTATAAGTAGTGTACACACCCACACACACTCAAAACCAGAGGCCTAGGCCTCCTCCAACTCCTACCTAGCTCCACCGCTATAGTTGCCTTCACTCATGTTTGTGTGTGGAATAAGTATCTTTTTTTGGTTCCTTTTTCATGGAAGCTTGTCAATATCTGAATTTGAAGTGAGGGTCATCAAAGATGCTTTGCCGTGTAAACAGCACTTTTACTTATTTCTGTTTATCCCCTTTTAGGCACGTCAAGTATAACATAATAAATTGTCTTTGCAAAGTATATATACTAATATAAACACAATAAAAGACCAGGAAACCCTTACATTTTATCTTTCTTTTCTGTTCCATCAGTTGCTCTTTTACTTTGATGTTTTACTAGTATCATTTGTCATTATCTCATGGTATTGCTGGTATTGGGGCGGGGGGCATTCTGGTACAAATTTGGGTATCTGAATGGAATGGATTTTGGTTTACGGACATTTTTCTTTCCCAACCACGCCCATATCAAAATAATCTCTAAATATTTTTCGAATCAACATAATAAGTTCTAATAGACAGAAACATCTACTTGCAATTTCTATGAGAAAAAAACCAAGGAAACTTGGCAAGGAAAAGACAACTTGGGTTGACAAATGAATTTTAAACAACATAAATTGGAGGATGAGATGAATGGCGTGAATTAGGGGAGTGGAGCTGGTCGTACGAATAGAGGGAATTATTTTGAATCAAGTGATATTTGGAAACCGGAATCACACATGGGGGTTGGGACTTGGGGGGGTCACTATCATCTGTTCCTGTAGCTGCATTTTTAACACTTCTCAAGATAAAAAAAGTGCGTTAATAATTTTGTTATCTGATACTGAAAGCGGGTCCAAACTTTTCTTCTTCTAAATCAGTAAATTGGGTATAAAATGCTATTTTTTGGTTTTATTTTGCAGTAGTATATCCAACTTCAGTCTACCCTACTGTGCAGCCAACAGTTCCTGAGAGTGACCCCAATAACACTACTGTAAGATGCAATTTTTATACGTTGGTGTCTTTCATGCTTTTTCATTTCATCATTCATTAATATGAAGAATATCAATTCTTTGTCCTACTGTTTGCAGATTTTTGTTGGCAATATTGACCCTAATGTTACAGAGGAAGAACTACGACAAACCTTCTTGCACCTTGGGGAAATTATATATGTCAAAATCGTTGCTTCTAAAGCATGTGCGTTCATACAATTTGCTGCAAGGTCGGTCTGTTCTTATCATGCATGCTGTTGAAACTTTTATTTTGGTTCACTTGAGTAGTGTTAGTTTTCCATCATAATTCTTTAACCAGTATACAGTAGTTTTCACATATGTAAAACTTATGGATATAGGGCATCTGCTGAAGAAGCAATTCAGAGGATGACTGGTACTATGATTGGTCAACAAATAGTTCGTGTTTATTGGGGTAGGACACCAACTGCTAAACAGGTGACTAGTCTGTTGACTATTTGAGATTTAAATTGAAAAGTTCCACTTTTGATCCCACAACTATTAGTTAGCTTACATTTTTGGCCCTTTACATTCATTTATTCCACTTTTGACGCATATGAATTTTTCTGCTACTTTTAGTCCTTCCAATCACTTCTAGGCCAATTTTCCGGTTACTTTTTTGCTGCACAAGTTATCAGGACTGTAATTGGAGTTGAAAAAGTAAAAGCTCTAGGGGCCAGAAAAAGAGTTCTTCCCCCCTCTTTCTAAATTTTGACAATTTGATTACCTATCTTCAGGACGCTGGTCAATGGGGTCAGGTAGCTGATGCAAGCCAATGGAATGCTTATTATGGTTATGGACAGGGATATGATCCATATGCTTATGCAGCCACGCAAGATCCTTCCATGTATGCATATGGTGCTTATCCTGGTTACAGCCAATACCCACAACCGGTAATATATTTCACACTTGGTGTGCATATTTTGCTCCTGCTATTGGAGTGCGCTTCTAGAACCGGATTAGGAGCATCTGATGCAATATTTAGATTGTTTGGCATCAATTTTGCCATGATTGAGTGATTTGAGTCAAACCATATTGACAGAACCCATTATAGTCATAAATGGCCAGAAATGAAAATCAAACCCAACTTCCAAGACCCTTGTGGGGGATAAATATTGGACTTCTTAGACTAAGATGGTTTTTTATTTTTTGATAAATCAAGAGAAGTGAAGACACAGATTTAAATAAGACCAAAGTAGAAGCATTCAGCTTGATCACATCTCTTTAAACAATAATGAATTTAAGAGTCTGGCACTGTGGGGGTATCAGTATTCCTATTCTTAGAACCCTAAAATCAGGGGAAGAAATGGGGTGATAGCTCATAAACGTGATATTATATTTCTGATGTAGGGTGAAGGTGCTCAAGATATGGCAATAACTACTCCAGCTGTGGACCAAAGGGAGGAAAGACATGATCCGTTGGCAGCACCCGATGTTGACAGGTAAGCTCATCCTTCCACATTTTCTATAATTAGTTGCACCATTTGCACGCCTTGCTGCATGCATGTATGACAAATTTATTTTTCGGATCTTTTAATGAAAATGGCTAAAGTTACGACTTAAGTTGTCAAAAGGAAGCAAAAGTATATACTTCACATTAAAATGGATGCATTTCTGTTTTGATAGGTTAAATGCTTCTTACCTTGCTGTCCATGCAAGGGCCATCTTAGGCAGGCCTATGTGGCAAAAGACATAATCCCCATTTCAGACGAAGCATAGAAATCATTCCTCCCCAGAGATGAGAGATCCTATCCTACGGTTTCATTAATTTTTGTGATGACATTCTAAAAGGGTATAAGAAACCTAGTATAGTATGTTACATGCTACTCATAGGTTCTGTAATGAAATGCTATGATTTGAATGCTTACATGATTTCAAATGTACTTACTGGCTTTTCCTTATTGATTTGGCAGGCCTTTTATTTATTAAACAGCCCTTATTATTGATTTAGCTTTTAGTGCCTATGGTTTAATCAGGGTTATTGGGGGGGGGGGGGGGGGGTATGTTGGTCCATAAAAACATAATTATTGCTATTTGATCAGGCACTAAACAAGGCAATAATGGATTAAACACTGATAGTGTTAAATGGGAATGACGGCCATGCTTAATATTTAGTTAGATCGGACAAATGATCATTTATAAAAAACTTTTCGAAATACTTTGTTTAGACATTTTAAGTCAATCACTATTAAACATATACTCCGATTACTCCCTATTAAACTCCGTAATATGTTAGAAGTACATCCAATTGAAAAAAATCAATAATTTCAATTACTATTATGTCAACTTATTAAAAATGTTACTCTCACCAAGCAAGGTTCTGATTGGCATGATTGTTTTGGTTTAGTGGAAATTCGTTATTAATTGCTTAATGTGTTTTTGGTCCTTGAGTTTTCATTTTAGTTTGAGATAAACTCATAAACCATGTTAAAAACTTCCCGAGATACATGTGTTGACACTAGGCTTGGACCCGGTTCGGGCCGCCCGGCCCGGGACCGGCCTGAGACCGGCCCGGCCTGTTATTGTGCGGGCCCGGAACCGGCCTGGTTTTCGGGTCCGGGTCCGGTTCAGGCACTGAACCGGTGGGGGTGGCGGGTCCGGGCTCGGGGCTTGTTTTTGGCGGCCCGAGCCTAACGGTCAACTTAATTTTTTTTTTCATTTAATTAAAAAACCCCTTTTGGGCTCTTGACCCACTTCCCAAACGGCTATATAGCCGTTGAGTGGGTACCAGGGGGGGTCTGGGGCCTTTGGGGGTGGGGTGGGGGTTAAAAAAACCTATAAATACTCCTAATTTTAAACATTTTTTCACACCTCTTCTCCAACTCTTCCTAAATCCTACTCTCTACTCATCTCCATATTCATCTTCTCAAATTCTCTTATTCTCCATTATATTTTATTTTACTATTTAATACTTATACAATTATTATATCTACTTATATATTAATTATCTACTTATAAATACATATACTATATTACTTATATTTCTTATCTACTTAATCTCTACTTATATCTCTTAATACATACATACATACTACATCTACTTAATATATACTTTATATATTAAAGTATTAAATATACTTTATAAACTATTAGTATATACTTAATACATAATAATATCTACTTCTCTACTTATATTTCATATATACTTATTTTCTTATTCTCCAATCTCCAATTCTCCATTATACTCTAATATTTAATTCTTTTACAATTATTTTATCCACTTAATATATACATTTTACATCTACTTAATATATAGTTTATATATTAAAGTATAAAATATAAGTGTATTACTCATCTTATAGTAGTATACTTATATATTATATACTATAAACACGAGTCCCGATCCTGTCAGGCCGGCCTGACGGAAACCGCCGTCCGGACGAGGCCATCAGAGGCCCTTCCTGGTGGAATTTTTCGATGAAATGTTTTGAGCATGTTCCTCATCAAGTCTAGTTTATCCATACCAAATTTCAGCTAAAAATTCAATCGGGAAGGCAGTCAAAAACATTCCCCATGAAAACTGCGTTGTTTTTATATATAATGCATAGTTTTCGTAGGGAATTTTTTTGACTGCCTTCCCGATTGAACTTTTAGCTGAAATTTGGTATGGATAAACTAGGCTTGATGAGGAACATGCTCAAAATATTTCATCAAAAAATTCCACCGGGAACGGCCCCAAATGGCCTCGGCCTGACGGCGGTTCCCGTCAGGCCGGCCTGATACGATCTACCCTCATATAAACATTATATTATATATTAGTTACACTTTAATTAATATCACTTAGAATAATTCTATTACCCATTTACTCCCATTAATTACTATACACATTCATACATTTGTCTTATTAGTTACATTTTTTATTAACATTACTTGATTAGTTAATTAGTATTCCCACTAATTGTTACATTTTTCAAAATTGTAAACTTGTACTTCATATTTCAAAATTGTAAATTTGTAGTTGTACTTCAAATTAATTTGTAAACTTGTACTTCATATTTCAAATAATATGCGTTCATTTTTTCATATGTAGCACTTCTCAAATTAATTAATTGGTTACAAACTTACGACTTAAAATTATTTTTCTAAAATCTAAAGGCGGTTTTTAAATTAAAAATACATTTACAATATGTAATTTGTTTAAATACTTATACACCTATTTTGTAACATTTGTAAATTATAAATCAAACCACTTTTCTAAGTACAAATAGCTTTACTTAATTCATTAAATTAATTAACTTATTTTACAATATGTATAACTTAAAAAAAAAGATTTAAATTTTTTATAAAAAAAAACCTCCCAAACGGCTATATAGCCGTTGGGGCTTTGGGTGGGGGGCAGGGGGGTCCCGGGGGTGGTGGTGTTTGGAGTGGGGTTCAAAAACATCTATAAATACATCTATTTTCTAACATTTTTCTACACCTCTTCTCCATCTTCATCTTCTCTTATTATCCTACATTCCTACTTATACATATAGCATTTTAAAGATGGAAAGTACATCTTCCCTTATGCAAAACAATTTTGATAAGTGGAAGGACCCGAAGACCGGACTGTGGTGGGCAACTTGCAAGTGGTGCAAGAAAGAGTGTAGCTTGGGGCATTCACACGGATACGGGATGCCAATAAAACATATGAACCATTTCAATAAAACAACCACCAACGGTGGCGGAAATCCCAATTGATATTTATTAGAAAATGTATTTCGTATTGTTATTTTTTCTCAATTCTCAAATGTAGTTCCTATTTCAAATAAATGCACTTGAACTTTGTTTTTAATAGGAATTTGTATAATCTATAATAATTTAAAAAAAAAATTGAACCGGCCCGGCCCGGGTCCATCACTAGTTGACACTTGAAATCAACCATTTCAATTATGGAACATATAAAATGGATGTTTTCTTATGGACAACTTTCGGTCCCAGATCAGATCAGACTTAAACAGAACAAATTATATCAGACTTGGATAATTATAAAATATACAAAGAACAAACATTTACTAGACCAGTTCAGACCAGACTAGCAAATTTTAGTCCAAAAGAAAACATCCTATAATAAGTAGTTTATTCAAAAAAAAAAATCAACAATTTCAATTGCTATCAGTGGCGGAACCAGGCCGGGGCGAGCCGGTGCCGGCGCCACCCCTTCGTCGGACGTTTCAAGGTAGTAGTTGGAGATATTTTCATCCCGCCCCTGTATCTCCCGTCATCTTCCTTATCATTTTGTTTCCAGATCTGGTGCCCTGGTGTTGCTACGTGTTAAAATGCCGACCAGTCATTTTAAAAGGCTTAGGATGTTTTTACTTGGACTGTAATTTGCTGGTCTGGTCTGATCTGGTCTGGTCTGGTCTGAACTGGTTTGGTCTGGTAAAGTCTGGTTTCTTTGTATTTTTATAACTATCCAAGTCTGGTCTGGTCTGAACTGGTCTGAACTGGTCTGAGACAAATTACAGTCCAAGTAAAAACATTCTTAGTTCAACGACGACTTTTGGCTATGTTACTAAAGGGAAAAGAAACAACGTCGTATGCTTTAAAGTTACGGAGTATCATAGCTCCGTATATTACTATTATTTATTATTATACTACATATTATACTCGTATCAATCAGTTTGAATTTTGAAGGATGAACATTTGGTTGCCGGGTTTGCACCCTTCCAAAATTCCACCTCCACCAAGCGATACTTATTTAATTAATCAATTTTTTTATTTAATTGTTTTTGTTTGGCATTTTAATTGTTTTCTTGTTTTGTGTTTGACCTAAGTTGGACTATTGGAGAATGGAGATTAATCATCCTAGCTTGAGTATTTATTTAACTTAGTTCATCAATTTGTTGGCATAATGACACGAGTCATTTCTAGGAGTAATTATTAATTACTCTTTCCTTTCAAAATTGATGATCTTATTATACATTTTGGGCTGAAGTATTAAGAAAGAGTAGTAAGAGCGGATACTATAATAATTTTAGAAGAATGTTCCAAAAAAAACAAGTTGTAGAAAGACCCATATAACATTACTTTATTGTACTGTTCACTCATTTGCTTTTATTGTTAATTAATGTGTATTCAAATAAATAAACACAAATTTGTTAATATGTACTAAATGTAATACATTACTAATACATTTGTATTCCAATAACATGCATATAATTTGTACATAATTTATACTAGTTTGAAAAAACGTGTTCAAATTGCAAAATTTGACTCTCATGTTTTTATTCCTTAAATAAGAGTAATTTCTATCAAGTTTGAAAAAAATTGTTATGTTTAAAGTTTGGTAATGTCAAACTTGACAGAAATGACTCATTTTCAGGGAATAAAAACATGTCAATCCTATTTTAAAGTTTTAAACTTTTTTTACTTTTATTTAGAGAACTTTCCATATATTTTTAGTTATGTTTTTATAAAAATTGTATGTAAATTATCAATAACTTTGACAAGACTTAACTTACCCTCTCGAGTTTCGACTCATCACGATCTTAACATATTTTATCGCCCCCCTTAAAAATAGTCTGGTTCCGCCACTGGCCCACTGATTGCTATTACGTCTTATTCTTTATTATTAAATTTTTTATCCTCATCAAGCGAGGTTTCATGGTTCTTTTGGCTTAGTGGGAAGTCGTGGATTACTTGCTTCATGCGTTTTCGTCCTTGAGTTTTCATGACTGTGTCTGAACACCTTGACTGAAGTTTATTTAGAGTGATGTGTCCGAGTTCATGTTCGAAGCTCTATGAGTTTCAAAATATCGGATTTTAGAATATGTTGGATTTAACATTGGCATACTCAATGCCGGATTCGATTGCCGTATAGGCTTAGAGTATGCTTGATTTTTATGTTTTAACTTCAAATTCTTCAAAGCATTTGATTCATTCATGACCGCATTTAAACCTATAAAAGTTAGGGAAAATGAAAACAAATAATCCAACCTTTTAACAGTTTTCTTACAATAGTCTCACATTTTCATTATTCAAGAATAATT